CAGGAGCTCTCTATCAACTCCAGTTTCAGGCTTCCTGACTATTGCAGTGCAAGAAGAGGTGGAAGCAACTCAACACTTCCTTCTTAACTGTCCGCGTTTGGGGGGTCGAAACTTAAACATTTGGAGCGCATATCTTCAGATCCCACCGAGCTAGCAGGAAAGAAAATTAAACGTTTTACTAATTTATAGTTCGCACACAGGAGTTTTTCATTTCTATAGCCTCACAGGGGACTACCTTTGGTCTTTGATCAGCCATTCAACCTAACCTAATCAAGGCACATTGAACATAACCAATAAAAAATATAAACAACAAATCAAGGCTAACTTCGTGATAAAAAACAAAAACAAAACTCTGTTATTTTTACATGAGTGATGATACGTTATTTTGTTTAACGAAATCAAGCACTTGATGACACGTTTTTCCGAATTTTCAATATAGCTTGGGTATTTCTGAGTGCAGAAGCTTAAAATTTGTGACACATATGTAATCTGACGTGGTGATTCATAATCAATAAAAAACGCAATTTTGAATTCGCTGAAGATACGTTATTTTGCATTTTTGGTAACGATATATACATATATCATGCGTGTAGTAGGATTATATAGGCTGTCAAAAACGTCTTGCGGTATTTTCGCTAGTTGGCGCTGAAAGCGCGTAGTTCTAGTTTTATTCGTCGCATCGGGTCATGCTGTACCTTTTTGAAAAGCTCATTTCACGCGCTAACATGTGTTTGATTGATAGTCCTTTCTTTTAAGTTGTTCGTGAGTTATAGCGTCGCAAACATGATGCAAAATAAAGAGAAAATACGGCATACTTTACAGTATTTGCATCTCAAGCCGCCAATAAAATTTGTGCAGTTTATGGACCGATACAGTTTCTATTTCCACCGCACAATGCTGGTTTCAACGTTTTCGTTCTGGTGTAGAGGTGGTCGAAGATGCGCCAAGCTCCGGAAGGCCTGTCTTCGAAAATTGCGATAAAATCGCTGAATTAGTCGAAAGAGAGCGGCATGGTAGCATCGGTCAAGAGCTGGGAATTAGTCATCAAAAAAAATTTTATGAACTATTGAAAATTCGATAAAAATACTGCAAAAATACCGCAAGACTTTTTTGACAACCATATATTATGTAAATGTTTGTCTTAGTACCCAAAAAATTCACGAACTACCATCGGAGCTACGTAAATTCCACATTATTTAAAAATGACAAAAAAAAAAATATTTTTATACCTGCTTAAATATATGTATGTATATATATTTTTTTTTAGTGTATTGAAACTTCTAAATTACTACCTCCCAAAAATCTTCGATAAATAGCTTTTGTTTAACGCTTTGTGAAAGAGTGGGATTTACCTACTGTGAAAAGTCTGCTCAGGTCCTGACGATTTCTTCTTTAGAAACTTAAAATGTATTTTTCTTGATGTTAGAGTTCACTTCAATAAATCATATTCAAAACTTAAATAATTGATTGTGGCGTTTAAACAGACGGAGCCACAGTTTGTCTTTTATCACATCTTAGTGATCTTTATATAGTATATTGGTCCGATGTTAACCCTTTATAACGTCTGAGCCCATTAATACAAAAGAAAGATACTCATTGAATTTCATTAAGATACTTCACAAATAAACCGATATTTTCGGTATTAACATTCTTTATTCGTTGAAATAGTGGATAAATTACAATTGCATTTGGTACCATCTACACCTATAAACACATACGGATATAAACTTGATTTGCTTTTATTGCTATATTTAAGCCCACGTCTGCTAAAATTATATTAAAAAACATCTGCTAATAAGATATACTTGTACATAAGTGCTCGACCTCGACCAAAGACGCAGTATTTAATATATTATATTAGGTTGATGTTGAAAACGTCTATGGAGGATCGGAAATCCTTATATTAGGGATATGAGATTTATGCCATGGTAAAAACCATTTCCATTCCAACTCAGCGCTAAACCACACATTTTTTAAGAAACTTTACCATATAGTTTCACTAAAATAACACGCATTTCGACCTACTTGAACGGTTTAAATAAAGGAGGAAAAACGGAAGTAATTTTATGGTGTATATTGAAGACAGAGAAAGGGTCAGGCTGACTGCATTAACTTTGATTTTGATAATCCCCAATCATATGGGGTAAAGTCAGAGAGATGTTCGAAAATCCTCATATTACTTATATGGGAGCTTGGTCAAATTTTCACCTTATTGTATCCATTTTAGGCATAGAGATATACCGTTATGAGCAGAACATTATCTCCTGATTTTATTAAGATACCTGACATATTGCCGATGTTTGCAGTACAAAGTCACTCCGAAGTTCGAAAATCTTTATATTAGGTATATGGGGCTAAGGGAATTGAATTTGTCCAATTGAACCAATTTTTGACATACACACATACTATTATAAAAGAGGGATTATCCATTTTTTATTTAATTTAAATAATTTTTTGTCATAACTGTCACTGTCACATTGTGTAATGGAAACTGATCGAATCAAGTGGAATTTGAAATTGTTTAATGTGGGAAGTAGGCGTGGTTGCAGTCCGATTTCGGCCGTTTTTAAACTGTGACATAACAATGTAAGAAGAATGCTACGAACTAAATTTTTTCGAAATCGGTTGGTCAAGTCTCGAGATATGAGATTTCTCCAAGAAGTGGGCAGTGATGTGCCCATTAGGGTGGGTCGATTCCGAACTTTTTCGATTCGGGATTTCTAATAGTACGGAAAAGTTGCCTTAGTACTTCCTGATCGCAATGCAACTTTTTGTTTTGAGATCGGATTGCATCTTCAACCCAAACTCCGGCCTTGAAATTTCGGAAATTCACCTAAAATCGTGAAATTGTCTACCTAGCACCTGGAATACGCATCTCATGGCAAAATGTATAAAACAAAAGTTATTTGTCATGTCATTTGCTACCGAAATGGATCACATACCATTTCCATGGCCGTAGGACGAAACGTTTCCGAGATACGAGCGGAAGGTGAAAAGTACTACCACGACACTATCAAAGAGCAACATATTTCTCTTATAGCGGAACCTGGTTGTCATTATTCTAGTTACGTCACCTCTCCTTCCGGGTCAGCTGAGGATGAGACGCAAGCTATATGGCAACATTTACAAGACAATTCAGTTGATGTGGAGCATCTAGAAGTTGTCGGTGCTGGTGGCACCAACACGAACACAGGTTGGAAAAGTGGAATCATTCGGAAACTAGAAGAACGAATAGGTAGGCCATTACAGTGGGTTGTTTGTCTTCTACATTTCAACGAACTTCCATTTCGTGCTCTTTTCGAACACATAGATGGTGTCTCAAAGHKTCCAAATACATTCTCTGGCGACATAGGTAAACTGCTCCCTGATTGTGAGAAGTATCCTGTTGTCAAATTTGAAAGTTTTCCATCCTGCCAATTACCTTCTGAGGTTGTTAATCCGACAGCACAGACCAAACTTATCTCTATAAAATATCAGAAGCTGTTATTTTCGGTCAATGCTCCTCAGATTTAGCGTCGATGCATCCAGGTAACATGTGCAAATCTCGCTGGCTCACCTGTGCAAATAGAATTCTGAGATTATACATTTCTACTGACAAACCAACAAAGGAAATAAAGATTTTGGTCAAGTACTTACTTACAGTTTACTCACCTTTGTGGTTCTCAATAAGATTCAACAGTTCAATCAAAGATGGCTCGCGCCATCTCTATGCTGCAATTCAAAGGTCGAGATAGTTACCTGCTAAACTGCGCAAGGTGGTCGATTTATCCATTCAACAGAATGCTTTCTTTGCTCTTTAGTATGATGACTGACGAACGGATAGAAGTCAGAAAGTTGGCCCTTGACCGTCTTCTGGCAGCAAGAGAAGCTGAGTCTGATACTGTAAATTTAAGGGTTAGATGTAATAAAGTGACAAAGCTGAATTTCAAATCTAATAATTAGTACGATATGATTAACTGGAAGACTATTACCTTGACTCTTCCACCAGTTCTTTGTTCAGTTTCTAACGAAGAACTCATAAAAGGGCTGTCGGGTGACACTGCAGAGGTATGGAAATTTAGTGAATTCCCCTCTCACACCGTGGCAGTCGAGAGAACCGTCAAACTGGTGACAGAGACATCTTCTAAAGTTATTGGCCCCCAATCTCTACACTGAAATCTAGGCAACACGTGCCAAAGTTTAGTACAAAATCTGATTTTATCAATAAATTTGAAACGGATTCAGACTAAAACAAGCCTGACATATGGATGGTTGGTTGGGTTGGGTTGGGCTTGGGAGACCTTGCGCTGTGGCACGCCGCATTTTCGCTCCTATCTCGGGAACGGTTCGTCCTACGGCATTGCATTGGAATCAGGAAGTACTAAGGCAACCTTTCCGCACTATTAGAAATCCCGAATCGAAAAAAGTCCGGAATCGACCCACCCTAATGCCCATCGTCCAATTTTCACACCGGCTCCCATAAAGCTCTCTCATACCATCTCGTTGGTAAAATTTAATGTATCTGGCATACTTAGTTATTGATTTATCGCTCTTTTAATAGTTTTGAACAGTACCGTTATATGGGGAGTGAGCGGCGTTATCCTTCGATTTTCTCCGTTTTCTCACTGTCGGTAGAAGTTATATATTGTATATGTTTTCGGTTGTTGTCGATTTGTGGGTGTGGCAGTGGTCCGATTACGCCCATCAACGAACTCGACATTTTTTGTACTAAGGAACCTACACACCCATTTTCATCGAGATATCTCAATTTTTACTTAAGTTACAGGTTATACGGACGTACGGATTTAAACGTTTCTCGTCATCCTGATCATTTGTATAAGTATATGTATATAACGCTGTATCTATCTCGCTTATTTTTAGGTGATTAGTACAATAAAACTATAATACTCTGTAGCAACTGGTTGCAAGAGTATAGAAATAGATTTAATGCTTTACCTTATTGTTTTGAAATATATTTCAACGATATAAAATGTACTAGTAATCATCTTATTTTATTTCAGGCCTTAACTTTTTGTGGTGTTCTGCTTGTATTGTACAGCTTTCTAAGTTCTGTGGCACCTACTTTTACTTGGCTTATCATATTACGTGCACTGGTTGGATTTTCGATAGGGTGCATACCACAATCGTAAGTTATTAGGTTTTGAAGATAATTTCAAATATATACATATGTTCAGATTAATTCTTATTTGTTTTAATTATAAATAATTCTAACTGGCGCTCAACGTGGGTCAGTAGCACGAAAAGAATACACATCAAATATACTTGCCAGTTATTGCCAATAACATCACAAATAATCATAACTCCCTTGGGCTCAATCGATTATTAAAATCTTTGCAGCAAAAACTAACCGATATATATGTATATATGTAAAAGCAATTTCAGTACTACAAAATTTATATATTGTATAGGAGATCATAGTAGGCTTTGGCGCACTCTGTTTAAAAACATTAATATATACTGCAGACATCCTAGTATTTTATAAATGTGAATGTAAATTTGTTATGCTTAATTGCTTAACCGATCATCATCAAACATTTTATACATATTCCTAATGATTTGAAATTAACATAGGATAATTGTGGAATTTTTTGTATAATGGTTGTTTGTAAAATTGTTTTTGGTCTCGTAAATGTCGAAATCGGTCCCACAAAATACCGCTAAGCGAAAACTTATAAAATCTCACAACTAAGCCGAAAGTTAAAATACAAAACTATAACTTGGTGTAACGAAACTTTGTGGAAAGGAGAATATGTTAATTGAAAATTAGTTCCACCTGGCTGACCTTTATTAAGTTTAATGTACTAATTGCACAAATCACTAAAGGTACGTTAACCAAACACGCTCATTTTAGCACTGCTTCCCATGCAGTAAAAAAGCATAAAATCGGATTATCTTCGCGTATGACGGTTATGTTGAAAACCATTAAAGTAACATAGTAGTGTGATAACTCACTAAATAAATTCGTCAGAAGTATATTTCACATTATACATATATGGTTCGGAAAGTCTTCATAGGATTCGAGTCAAAATTACACAATCGGTTTGGCACCGCGCAACTTAAGGTGAAATCCCATATCTCAATAACTACTGAACAAATTTTAACTAAAATTTCACATTATAAATTTGGGCATAATCGTAATATATTCATATTTGCGATTTATGTAATTATAAAAATTTTAAATTAAATTTTACTTCTAAAATTTATCGAATATTAACCTAGAGTTAATGGTGTTATTTTAATTCAATTATGCAAAAAATTAGTCTATCTTCCGCTTAAAAAATCAGACTACAACTATGACCAATATGTATGTAAATACGTACCAAATCTGATTGTAATTCATCCATTTCTTCGAATAAGACGTGTTGAATTCTTATGCAACATATTTTATCATTTATATATACCGTCCAAAGAGTAAAATAAGAGTTGCATTACAAATAATTAATTATTTTCTAGTTGCATTTTTAAGCCTTTGTCAGAGTTGCACTGCGCAGTGACTTCGCCACAGCGGCCCCCTCCTAGAGAGCCGTTGATGGTGCGATGAAGGCGGACTTTAGGTGATCGATGGAAACCTTGACCTTGCTGGCGTTGACCTCGACTAGTGGCTTGATTCCAGCTTGTTGTGATCGAATGGTTTTGTTGGGGTATGCCAAGAAGTATCGGTTGCAGCTCTTGCATGATACGACGTAGTTCTTTTATTGTCTTTAATTCGTTTGGCTTGCTGTTGCATTCTATGATAAAATCCGAATGCAGACGAAGCGTTGTGCTGTAAACAAGCTCCGAAGGCGTACATCCCATGTGCTTGGTATTGGTAAAGCCTCTGGCTATTGAGTGAATCTATCAATTATCGTAATGCAATACCTATTGCCTTCCGACAACGGAGACGGACCACCATGTCGATGTGTAAGTGAGAGGGTCTCGGCGCTGTAGTACACTCTTGTTGTGTCGAACCCAATCAGTTCTTAGAAAATAACTTGCTGTCACGTTGAATATCGGGTCAAGCAAATCACTCGACCATTAGTTTTGTAATAGCGTGTATACCTGAATGTGACATTGTGTGTTGATTGCAGAAATGATGAGCGAAACTTCTAAGTTACAAATAGATGGAGACATCGCAAAAGACTCTGTTGGAACTAAAAGGTAAATCAAATTTCTTTAGCTTAGGAGAATGATGGATTATACCTTTCAGATACAAATTTAATTCTCAATCGTGGACGTGAGCCACCCTTGCAAGTCTGCAACTAACCCATGTTATCCGAGGAAGTCGGCGCATAATATCTGCTATAATAAAATTCCAACAAAAGCTATGTGGATTAGGGTTAACGGATGTGTTGCTCGACGTAGATTTGGAACGATGTGGGCCCCTGGGGCAGTCGTTACCCAGAAGTAAATTGACTTGCTTTGACAAGGTGGCGATTTCAGCTCGTAGTTCAGAAATTTCTCCCGATGCTTGAGTTTAGGGTGCTAATGCTACACATGTGGCCTCTTTCAAAGCCAGATATTCGGTGATGGAATCCGCAATTTTTGTCTTCTCACTGATTGGGACGTTGGTGGCAATAAATGCTGCCTGGGTGTAATGCGAACGTCGGCTCACCTAGAGGCCACGGTGTATGCGTTCGCTGAGCGCGGGCTCTGCGGTGCATCGCATCTCCCTGTACGAATCGCTATGTCGCTGATCACCTAATGGTAGTTCCTTCAAAGTGCGCTAAAGCCGGCGCTGCAGACTCTTTGTTAAATTTTCAATTAGTTTTTGGCGTATGAATTTGGGGTGGCGTCTACATTATTATATAAATACTTCCACAATCGGTTACGAGCGTGGTGTCGTTTAAGCTCGTGTTGAAACATATTGTAGAGCACGAAGTCCTCAGTTTGGTGGTTACCACCAGAAAAGAGCCTTTATTAGCTTTATAAGAATTAAATAGTCTAACAAGGGTTGCCTGGACGAATAACTAATTATTTTTGAGCTACATTTTTAAGATTTTGTTAGAGTTGCAAAGGGTGATTCCGCCACATATATAATCAAGTATTATTTGAAATTTTCGTTTTCAATTATTGTTTTTTTGTATATATTGGTATAATGATATTGTGGTGTCGGTGAATATTTGCTATTTCTTTAAGTATTATTTTAATTACACATCGAGACTTCGTATGTATTGTTTTTGTGCAAGTATTGGACATCCTGATGTTATGTAACTATAATCTACGGTGTCCGAGGCGTTTATAAACCATTTACAGCTTTTGTCAGATAGATGGTTGAATTTGAGTTTATCCATCGGTTTTTATACATATATGCGTACTGGTCCTTCAGTTTTCGAGATATCGATCTGTAATTACACGTGCACTATAAGATATAGCTGTCAATTCCGTATAGGAATTCTTTTTATTTATTTTACATATTATTTCCATAAACTTTGGCTATAACATTTAGCCGCCATACAAACTGCCCAATCAAAATCAAGATAATTTTGCTATATTCACATATATAACAATCCCATTGCTATTGCCTGATCCTGAATAGTCATTATAAACTCTTCTGGTTGCAATTATCCTTTTCTTAAGCAAACGTATTAATTTGGTTTTCAATGATGTAAAAATGTTTGCAGAGATTTATTTCTGTTTCCACAGGCTTCAAAAATACAAAAAAATTTTTTTCATTTGAAAGCCGGAGAAAAGGTTGCAAAAATCTGAAAACGAAAACAAATAAATGAAGCATTCCCACTGTCAGAAAAAATGAAAGCACAATAAGAAAAGTGGTGTCAGCTATTATTATTTAAGGGCTAGGTTAACTTTTCGCTCAAATTTATCGATTTGAAGCACAAAAATGCACTGTTGTCAGTAAAACACGCTAGCTCATTTTCATTAAGATAGCTTTATGTTAATTACTTCTTGATTTGTGTCCTGGAAACTGAAAGAATCAAGAGGAATTTAAAATTGTGTTATATGGGAAGTAGGCGGGGCCAATTTCTTCCACTTTCACAATGTGACATAAGAATATAAGAAGAAAAAGAAATCGTTTGGATGAGTCCCGATCAATGGGACTTCACCAAAAAGTGGGCGGAGCCACACCCATCGTCTAGCTTTCACACTGGCTCTTATAAACTTTTTAATACCATCTCGGAGGTAAATTTTATTGTCTCTGGCGTATTTAGTTATTGATTTATCGCCCTTTTAGTAGTTTTGAACAATACCGTTATATGAGGAGTTAGCGGGGTTACCCTCCGATTTCATCCATTTTTAGGCTATAGGTAGGAGTTTTCATACTATTTGTGCTGGGTGAATTTATGTTTAGTTATTAGAGGGCATACATTTTATCCACAAATCTTTCTTGCTGGTGCGGTCCCCGGTACCAAATTACAGTTTTATATCTTAACTAAGTGCTTAATGACGATTTGTGGGCGTGGCAGTGCTTCGATTACGCCCGTCTACGAACTCGATTTTTCTTATACTACCGAACCCACAAACCAAGATTCATCGATATATCTCAATTTTTGCTCAAGTTACAGCTTGCACGGACGGACGGACGGACAGACAGTCAACCAGATTTTAATTTTTCTCGCCATTCTGATCATTTATATAACCCTATACATATCTCGTTTAGTTTTAGGTGATACGTACAGCCATTAGGTGAACAAAACTATAATACTCTGGAGCAACTGATTGCTCACTACATAATGTAATAGACCTTCCCAAAGTGTCCCTAGGAGCCATCACTCACTCGTTTTGGCATTTCGGGAGTGGATTCAGGTCGAAAGCTGGATTCTCTGTGTATCAGAGTATTATTTTTTTTTACACTTACGACACGAGAATTTACACACACAGTTCTTGTAGCTATGTGAAATGGCCTAGCAGTTATATCAATAACCATATTTTTTGATTGTGGAGATACGTGACATACGTGACTCTACTACTCGAATAGGGTGTGGCTTTTTGCAGAGCTTACAGCTTTCTGTATATATATTATTTTGAGTAAAGCTGAAATTATTATTCCTTTGGGTGTTAGAGGGTCTAGGTATTGGCGTTCCAGCTACGTTTGCATGAAAAGTGTTATAATTCTTTTCATCTGTACTTTTAACTGAACCGGTGTGGAATGGGGGTAATTTTGCTACGGAAGCTTTAAACTTTCCAACA